GGGGGTTGGATCTAGATGATCTTTAAGTTTCCTTCCAACCCCAACCATTCCATGACTCTATGAATCTATTTTCTACACCTCAATGTTAAAACAATGGATCACAGAGCAGAGACTCCATGTCCAGCCCCGTGCAAAGCCCAGACTCCCTGTGGACCTTCCCTGGAGCAGGATCTGCTTTCAAAGGGGGAGGGATTCTGAGGGATGAGGGGGGACATCAATAATTCAGGGTGCCCGGGCTGGTGTTGTGTTGCAGGCAGGATGTTTGCTGTGGGCTGCAGCATGGGCCCCATCCTGCACTACTGGTACCTGTGGCTGGATGGGGCCTTCCCTGCCCGGGGTGTCAGGGGCTTGAGGACAGTCCTGAAGAAAGTCCTGATCGACCAACTGGTGGCATCACCTGCCCTGGGAGCCTGGTACTTCCTGGGTATGTGCTGGCTTGGGTCAGTGTCACTGGGGGGGTGAAAGTGGCCTCCCTGGATGTGGGTTTCCTGGGGGGCTGGGCCTGTTTTTCCTTTTCCCCTGCAGGGTTTTGAGGGTTTTGGGGGGTGTTTTTCCATGTCGGGCACAGGTACAAGGGTGTGGCCTGATGGGATAAGGGATGATGGCTTTAAACTGGAGGAGGGAGATTGAGTGGAGACATGAGGAAGGAATTCTTTCCTGTGAGGGTGGTGAGACCCTGGCCCAGGTTGCCCAGGGAAGCTGTGGCTGCCCCATCCCTGGCAGTGTTGAAGGGCAGGTTGGATGGGGCTTGGAGCAACCTGGGCTGGTGGGAGGTGTCCCTGCCCATGCAAGGGGGTTGGAACTAGATGATCTTGAAGGTCTCTTCCCACCCAAACCATTCCATGATTCTCTGATCCCATGAGGTGACAATTCCCATCCCCTGATGTCCCTCTGTTCCCACAGGGATGGGAACCCTGGAGGGCCAGACTCTGGCAGCCAGCTGGAAGGAGCTGAAGGAGAAATTCTGGGAGTTCTACAAGGTAAAACCCAGCCCCCCCTGAGCTCTCCATCCCACCTCCAGTGCTGAGCAGGGATCATCCAGCTGCTCTTGGCTCTCTCCAGGCTGACTGGTGCATCTGGCCGGGGGCTCAGCTCATCAATTTCCTCTTTGTCCCCCCAAAATACCGGGTGATTTATGTCAACATCATCACGCTGGGCTGGGACACCTACCTGTCCTACCTCAAACACAGGGTGAGCACCAGCACCATGGGGCCCTGCCATGGCCAACTGGGCTCGTGTCCCTCACTTCCCATTTCTCCCCTTTCCCAGCCCAGCAGCTCTCCTGGTTCCCAGCAGGACTCACCCCATCAAGACCAGCGTGGAACCAGGACCTAAGGACTCTCAGAGCCATTTTTTGGCAGCTCTTGGACATTTTTTTTTCCCCTTCAGAGCATCATGCTGGTGGCTCAATCCACCCAACCAACACCATGGCTGGAACCCACAACAACCAGCACAGGCCTTGCTAATTAACTCACCTGCTGATTGCAGCCCTGGGTGGGGCATTTCCTGACTCCTGTCCAGGGTTGCTTGGAAAGATGATGAATTTTTACATTTATCCTCAAAACCAGGGCAGGGAGGAGCTGCCACCAGCTCCATTTTGCCTTCAGCACCCGGGGAAAGGTCCCCAGTGCCCTCCTGCTGCTGCAGCCAGGATTCTTTCCCCCCTTTCCTAACCCCATTTTTGCTCCTCCTTCCCCTCCAGCACCTCTTGCACCAGCAGCTCAGAGCAGGCTGTCTCTCTGGGTGCAGAGCTGCTGCTGTTCTGCTCCTCAGCTCTTTTTTTATCTTTTCCTGCTGCTTTTCTTTCAAGGAGAACCTGCTCAGCTCCTCCTTCACTCCACCAGGCACCCACCTCCTGGTGCTGCCCGTGTGCTGAGCTCCAACCACCCAGTTCAGATAAAAATAAGGGTGTGAGCACCAGGCCCGACAGCACCAGAGACACAGGGGCAGGAGGGGTTTGGGGGAGGGTTTAAATCCAAAGGAGGGGCTTTTTTGGCAGGATTTAGACTCTTTTTTTTTTCCCCTCCCTGAATGAGCTGGACACTCACTCCACAACCTGGGAACTTGATGATTTTCAGCATCAATGAAAGTGACCTGAATTTGATCCTTTTTTGTCAAGCTTAAGTCCAGCTCTGGCCTCATCCCCCCCTCCATGGGCCCCACCCCTCTCCTCCCACCACAGCCACTTGATGAGCACTAATTAAGAGCCCAACTCATTGTTTTTGGGGGGGCTCCTTTCCACCAAAATGATCACCACAGAGGTGTGTCCCCCCCAATAACCCTACAATGACCCCCAAGGAACCTTGTGATCAGCATCGATTTATTTCTTCACAACATTTCTTTTAATACAGTGATTTTTAGGAAATTGTACCTTTTTTTTTTTTTTAATCTCTTTTTTCTGTGTGTGTGTGTGTTTTTTTTGACACTTTTGACATTTGTACAGTACAGTGTTAACTCTTCCATAAGTGAACTTCACAAAAAATAGGAAAGGGGAAAGGAAGAAGAGATGGTATCAGGGTCGGGGCAGGGTTGAGGTGAGAGGGGGGGGTTTTTTAGGGGAAAAGATGGAGAGAGGGGAAAATAAAACAACAACAAAAAAAGCTGTAAAAGAAAAGACACGAGTTCCAAGGAAAATAAATAGTGGGGAGCAGGACCTTGGGGTCCCTCATGGCTACGGGAACATCCACGGATTCACAGTCTCCACAGAAGCACGAACACAACGAGGAGCCAAACGCCCTGTAGCAAATTAACTAGCCCTGCTTGCCCCCCAATTAGCCAAAACCAGGGGAGTTGGGGGAGAGGGGAGAAGGATACACAAACCCCTCCCCACAATCCAACCCACCCACAAACCCCCCCCCATACAAAACCAAACAACCAAGGGGCTAATTTGCTACAGCTCGCTGGGACTGGCCTCACTCAGTAGTTGTTTGTTGGTTTATTCTTTTTAAACCATGAAATAATAATGATATATTATTGTCTTTTCTTTGAAGTGATATTCACAAGCAAGGCTACCACACAGAGGAGAACCAAAAAAATAATAATCATGATAATAAAATAATAACCATCATAATAATCATAATGAAATGCACCAGCACGACCACAGCACAGCAGGTCACAGCGTCACTTCCTACACCTATTTACAAGGAGTTGTTCTTATGTACAAGGAGGAAGACAGAGGGAGCATAAATTAGTATTTATTTATACAAA